GCCCATGGCAAAGGGAGCACTCGATCATCGCATTGGTGCCCCCGCCGTTGCCGCTGTAACCGCCACTAGGGTCCGGATGATTAGTAATAAGGCGACCGCAGACACGACAGGCGAGATCAGCCACGATGTCAGCCATGACGTCGGCACCATCGCTGACGGGGTCATCCCTGTTACTGCTAGTAGGCACAGCAGAAGTCGCGCCGGTTGCTGCGGAGGCTATGTGCTGACTTTCCGTGGGCGCCTCTTGTAGGGAGATCACTTCAGTCGTGGCGACCAGGGAAACGGAATCCTTGTTTATTGACTGAGATTGACAAACAACCACGGGTGCAGCGATTGTCACTTTTTGGACGAAAACGAAATCAACAGCTGAGTAGTAGAAAAGAGTAAACGTACAAGTAGGACAAACAAGTTGGCAAACTAACTAACGAAGGCCCACATCTTGTTCTATTGTATTTGTGATTAGGAGGCAATGTACAGCAGATATGCTATCTCACGAAATATTAACTGAGATTCGAAAAAAATAGCTAAGTAGGGCTGTCATACTAATTATCTTGTGGCATAATGCTGCAATTTTCAAGTCACTTCAGAATGCCCGCTTTTGAAAGAGCTCCTTACCGACCGCCTGTGTAAACAACATTCCGCAAAAAACGACTATATAAATAGCGCGAATGTTTCCCATTGACTTTCGATGACCTTATAAACGCACATATATTTTATAGAAGACATGCACAAAAATATTCTTCCTTTTACTCATTTATTGGCAAATTGCGTCTTCAATTTCCGTATTAACAGAGAGAGCATCTTCTGGTTTTAAGAAAGTTCCTCAATTCCCCTATAATTCTGAACGCTAAATGCCGTTACAATAACATTAAGGGTTTCCAGACTACAAACTGCACACGTTTCGTGTAAGGGAAAGCATAGACTTCTATATGCTATTAACAAGAGATCGTAAAGGGGCTCAAAACATGTCATGGATGTGGACAATGCACAAAGGATAAGTGTGCTGCTGTAATGCTGTGTGATTGGATATTTCACGGTCATGAAAAATCTTATAATTAGAAATTTTTTAAACCAAAAGAGACCCTTTCTACAAGTATCAAATTTGAAGAAGACGTAATCTGCCACCAAAAGGATATTATTGTGCATTTTTTACAAAGCATATTTGAGTATTTTAAGGTATCGAAAATCAATGCGAACAATTTACGGAATGTAGTTTATACGGGCTGTCGATAAGAAGTTCACTCCAAAGCCAGCATCCTGACGTGACTGTAATATCTTTAAATTATGCGACAGAATAATAAACATGACAATCATACTTAAGTAATCTTTTCGAATTGAAAGAATGATTTATGGTCCCAGGTAACATATTATGAGATAGCATATCTACTGCAAATTGTTACATCAGAAAACCGTGGTAAAAAGCCTTCGCTTACTCGTTTCTATCAAGATGCATGGAGCTCCTAAAGGAGAACATTATAGTTTGCCAAATGCGATTTTCCTCATTTGTAACATCATGGCCCTTTTGCGGGCGACTTAGTTTAGTAAACAGATATAGTCAGTAGAGGCCGAATGACGAATGTCTGGGACCTTCAGTGTCTACGGACTAAC